ATTACACGTGAAAACCAAATTGTTTTTGCTTTTTTTAAATTTTTATTTAGTTACCGAAAATATTATTAACATCAAATACATCCAATCTTTAGTAAAGTCCGAAAAAAAAACGAGACAGGCAGGATTTTATAAACATATTAATTGTAACTACGCTGTGCGTGATTTTCAAATGAATTTATACACCTCTCAAATACCTTTGAGACTTTTCTCGCTGGTGTCCATTGTTTCTTCGGTAGTAAAACTTTACGCTGCTAAATGCACAGTTTAAAAAGTCTGCTTTAAAAAAGGTACGCACTATGATGACGTAAAAAAGACAACGTTCATCATGGTTGGTGCGACCGACAAAAAAGTGCGTAAAACAGAACAGACAAAAACTAATGCGCAAAACAAAAGACACAAATAATAACCTGCGGGGATTCTTGTTTCCGAATAAAGATGTCTTTTTTTTACGTCAACGGTCTTTGATTAAAAAATAATGATTAAGCAGTACGTTCAGTGTATAAAATAAATAAAAGGCAGTATTTAAAATACCTACCACGTGCACTAAATCAATCCGTGCTAATTATGTAAGTCTTTTTTCCAACACCAAAACAAAATAATAAAAAGTAATTGTTCCCCTGATGTAATGTTTTTTTATAAAGGGAAGTAATTGTGGTTTTTTTTCCTAATTCATCAAGGGACTAATGAGTGCTAAAAAACTAAATGTAAATAATTTTGTGAAAGGTGATTTTTTTTTATTTTGTTTGATGGACATACCGACAATCTAATATATAAAGTTCAATTCTGCATGTTTGTTTGTAAAATGTTTGTTTGTAAAATGTTTGTCGTGGATACTTCGATGGGTTTAAGTGTTAGATTGTTATAGTGCCAATGGTATAAATTTATGAGTTAAAAAATTACTATTGAAAGTCTTTTAAAACAATTTTCATTTTATATATTTAGAATAATAATTTTCAATTATGAACATTACATAAAAAATTTTAAAAGCGTATAAACGTTTATAAAATTTCTAAAATTGTGTCTGAAATGTATTTGCATTTTGTCCTTTAGTTCTCATAACGTCTCTTGATTTGGAAAACACAGTTACTTCCCTTTAAAACCCCCATTAAATCGGGGAAGAAAGAATTTACTTTTTATTACTTTGTTTTGGTGTTAGGAAAAAAAAATAATTACATAATTAGTGGGGATTGATTAAGTGCAATGTCGTTGGTATTTTTAATACTGCCTTTTATTTATTCTATACACTGAACATACTGTTTACTAATTATTTTTTAAATCAATATAATTTGATAAACCAGGTCCTACAAATCCGTTATGTTTATTTCTTTCCATTTACGGATAAGCTTGGAGTATTATATTTTTGTTCACTAAATTGAAACGTATCTGAAAAGTTTGAACGAAATCGCTGCATTAGAAGTGGATTGAAATAGAGTAACAGGATTAGCTACCAATCCAAAAACAAAAAACAAAAAACAGACGTTGCGAACTAAAACAAAAGCTTATAAGATGCTTGTAAACAGAATAGAATTCCGCATTTTAAAAAATATATCATCGGAAATGGTTCAAAAATTAATACAAAACTTAAAAATCAATATAATTCCTAAACATGCAATTTCATCAAAAATTGTTGCACGATTACAGTACTTTCTCTATACCTCGTATGCGAGAAAAAAAGGAAACAGGAATGGCCACACGAATACGTTAATGCGCAGAACACAAAACTTGTTGGATAAGAACCCAATTGTTTATATAAGAAAATACGGCATCTGGACAAATCTGACGACACTGAGGGGTTTTGCCGACGAGAATAATGTTTCTTTTTGTTACCCTCCATATATACGAGCCGACGCGCGGCGTATCATACGCCGTTGTTTAGTGGTTTTATTTTCTACTTTTCCTTAATTCATAATTTGTGAATTCGATCCGGGGAAACGGACGTATATTATAATTGATCATACACATTCAAGTAATAAGTAGATTCCTCTTTCGACCTAGCGATCCATTGGGCAGATAAAGTTGAGTTCATGTTTCTTGATCTCGGCACATAAAGGAATGGTTGGCTCAGCACTTTGCCCAGCCGCCTTTGCATTCCCCAACTTGTCAGGTACCCATCAGGGCTGGATGTACTCAATAACATCAAACAGTTAAAAGGATAATGCCTTTGAATTTTTAAATTCTCATTTTCCCAATTTAAAAATATTGGTGCTGTTTCAGATGGTTAAGTGAACATTATAACAAAACAGGCTTGCATTTGTTTATTCTTTTAACTCGACATAAGGCCTCACTTTGTATTTTTGTCAGATACAATTAGAAATTGTATAGAAAATACAAAGAAAACCCCAAACATTTTTTGAAAAATTATAAACATCTTTTAAGTCTAACACTGACATTGGACAAGTGCAACTCCTTGTTACCAAATCATGGCAAATTATTTGATGGTTTCCTATTTATTTCTCTGAAAGCATGCGCTTTTTTTTTACCCGGATAGGTACGGGAAATTAGAAACAATCATAGGAGAGTTTTGTCTTACTTGACCTACAATATGGGCGTGTTGTCGTACTTAACTTCCCATGAACGTGTTCTCTTACCTGACCCCCATTGGCGTGTTCCCTTACTTGAACTCCCATAGGCGTGTAACATTTTACTTGACCTCACATGGGCGTGTTAAGTCTTAATGGACCTTCCATGGGTGTGGAATGTCTTACTTGTCCTCCCTTACACTTTAAGAAACGCATTTGCAACCATTCAAACTATAAAATATAATATAGGTGACAAATTTTCTTTCTTAAATTAATCCCCCAAAAAATACGCAAACACAAACGCCACACGCAAAGACTAATCTTTCTTGATTCTTTAGCGATGACGAAAGGAAGGAAAGACTGACACACTAGCAGCCGTCTTATATATATATATATATATATATATATATATATATATATATATATATATATATATATATATATATATATATATACAGACAGACAGACAGACAGACAGACAGTCAAGCATACAGGCAGGCATGCTAGCATGTAGAAAGTCATGCGGACAAAAGATAACAGAGGGTGGGTTTTGATTAAATTATTCGATCAGATAGTTGTTGACCAGCCTTTTGTGTAATCAAAAATTTTAAAAACATCTTAAAATGGATTTTAATTTACTCAAACTAATGTCTTCTATAGGTCTCTACTACTAAATAAAACAAAATTGATTTTAACTTTTAAAAATCGATATTTCATTTTTAAAACTCTAACATAACCCCCAAAACCACAAAGATACGGAGTGGCCTAGCGGTAGAAAGCTAGACTGCTTATCCGTATGTCTCGAGTTCGAATCCGGGTTTAAGTCACGTTAGGGTAAGTATAGGCGGCTGTGTATAGTGCTGACCACACTATAAAATGAGTATGAATGTATTGTGTCTAAAACACTACTCCCTCATAACACTTACTCTCCACTCAATAATCGCTACCCGTATCCCAAAGATCAATCCTAATCGCAAAATGTATCATCTAACGATGAAGCTAACCCTAACACTTACCCTAACCTTAACACTAAGCCTAAACTTAAATTATTATCTTAACTGACACCACAACCTAAGCCGCAAGTTAAACCTAAACCTAAGGCGTAGATATGGGACGGAGTGGTCTAGCGGTAGAGAGCTGAACTGCTAAACCGTAAGTCTCGGGTTCAAATCCGAGTTCAAGTAAGTAGACCGTCCCTGAGTCCACCCAACTCTGATGGGTACCTAACTCACGTTAGTAAAGGCGGCTGGGCATACATAGTGCTGACCACACTATCTCTTCATATGCCGAGGTCACAGAAACATGTGAACTCTACTTCACTTGCCCCATAGGGAAACTTTACTTTACTTTAAGGCTAAGATTCAGCCAAAGCCTTAAATCTGAAACCTGAACCGTAACATTTAGTTTAATATAAACGTAACCTGAACTTAAACCCTTACACTAACTCAAAACTAAACCACTTCAGTTTACCTAACGCACCGTAAGGCTATAGTGTACCCTTATTGAAAAAAAAGCATTTAATTTTTAATTACGCGCTTACGGAACCTATCAAAATGTTGACCTTTTAAAACTAGACACGCTGCAAAGACGTGATCTGGGATTTCGGTATCAGGAATAATTGTGAACAACATCTGCAGATGACGTTACGTGCGTAATTGTCTTCAAGTTCATGATATACTGTCCGCCATCTTTTCTTGTCAACGTGGCGCGTATCTCATAGGTGAGGGGAGCCATTTTGAATTCTCCACAGCCAGTGTGTGCATTAAGAAGTATACAGTAAAAATCATCGCTGGAAGCTGAGAAAAAATAATTTATTAGGTAAGTAAACTTGTTTCATTAATCTAAAGAAACACTAGGCCGGTTTTGCTGTGATCAAAAGGAATAATAATTAACGCTAAGCAGACCCCATTATTTGTACTGTTGTTCGAATAGGTTTAGTACTTTAAAATATGTTAAGATGGGGATCGGCCTTACTATCTAGTCAATTGTGATTTCGGTATGTTGTAGGCCTACTGTTAGATTAAGTTCGGCGTGTTATTGTTCGATTATTGAACAGGTTAATTTTTATGTTAGAACTAAGATTCTTTAAAGCTGGATTATAATGTGTCTGGAGAATTAAAAAATAATTAGACTAATGTATGAACAACTTAAATTTTAGGTTAGCATTCAGATACTGTTTAGGTATTGGTTGGTTTTAATGGGTGCTAGAATTTAAAACGTATCTAATTTTGTTTTTTACAGCTTACGCGTGATTGGTCATGAGCTTGCGAAAATATCTATTATCGCATTAATAAATAGTTCTGTTTAGTGTATTGCATTAATATTTCAGAACACTTAATGGACTTGAAAATTGGCCTCATACCTAGCGTCGTCGTCTATTGACTTGTAATGTAGGATAAAAACGATTTCCTTTTCCTATTTAAACACTTATTAAAACACTCAAAATCATTTGTTTATTTTATATAAAATATTTTAAAATAGGACCAGTGCACCATGTTTAAGCTGGTACTGACGTTTTTTTCTCTACTGGCGAGTTTCTGGTCGGTGCATGGCGGAGACTCTCTACAAATGACGAACCTGGACAACGGCACTTTTCAACATCAAACCAAACGAAGCTCATCGCAGGTCATTACTTTAATGTGCATATACAGATTTCTTTAAACATCTTACATGTTTTTATTACGCTTTTTTTGTACATTGTGGTTTATACCGAAGATGAAGTTTTCACATGTTTCAATTATCATTTAAAAAATATTTTAAATCAATTTCCAATTAATTTTACTGCAATGTAAAGGTATGTAACGTGCAGAGGCGTAAATAGAGGGGGAGGCCACCCCGAGCGCCGACCCTAGTGCGTTGCCAAATGAGGTTGGAAAAAAATGTAAAAGCTGATTTTATGCTGCAGTTTTAAATTATAAACAGTTAAGAAATGTAAGGGCTACAAGCCTTTACATACTGCTTTTACTGTTATCTTCCTTGATTGTCTAACTGTAAAACATAACCCTTAAGAAAAAGAGACCTACATGGGGGAGGGGCGCATTTTTTCGACTAAAATCAGAAGAATTTACTTTAGATTGGTGAGTTGATAAACATTACCTCATAGAAAAGAATAGTATTAAAGCGTATTGTACGATTGATAACCGTAAAAAAGGTAATGACTTTTAACAAGATGCTGCAGAGATTTACATTGGATTGGTGAGTAGATATACTTTATCACAGAAAAGAAACTAATAGTACTAAAACAGATAGTATAATTGTTTATCATTTTAAAAAAAGTTAGTTATGTTAAATTCCGCTCTATCAAATTTGTCCAATATGGTGTGGGGGTGGGGCGCTTTTTCGCGAACAAAAATCTCAAGTACTTGTACTGGATTGGTGATAAGATACCTCTTTTTTTAACACTTAAAAAAGAAAACAATTGTATTCTAGCGTATTGTGTAACATTAAAATAAGAAATAAACCGGGAGTGATCTCCCCTAAACTTTCTCGAATATTCTTATATAAAACAACAGGAGATGGCAACTCGGGATATAGACATGAATTTTAATCCATTTTTACAAACTTTTATTTAACACACTTCCTTGTCAGTCTGTCTAGATCGAAACGCACTTTCTAGATCGAAACGCACTTTTACTTGACAGATACGGTTCGTAGTTGGTAAATGGGTCAAGACTTGAAGACAATGCATCATGACATTCAATTTGACTTAATTGGTCGCCTGATTAATTTTTTATTAATTAGTTGGCAGTTCTATCCAACTACTCCACACGTGTCATCACATTCAATAACACGTCATCACGCTCAATAGGCGCGCAATGGTTTTTAGTCATGAAACTCTATTGTAAATAAAACTTGTAAAGTACTGGAAAAAAATACTAAGCATTCAAGCAGTGGGGTAGCCAGGGTCGTCTCATGGAAGGTTCAAATTTTTCCATCAATATATGTATATATATATATATATATATATATATATATATATATATATATATATATATATATATATATATATATATATATATATATATATATATATATATATATATATATATATATATATATATACTAGCTAGCTGTATGTCAGTGCTTTGCTATGATGTTAAATAAATTGAAAGTTGTACTCTGAAGAAATAAGAAACAAAACACCATCTAGGCCTACAAAACAAAAAAATGTATCACTCAAAAACAAAAACAAAAATACACACAATACAACCTAACACAATGAACGCAACACAATCTGTTTTGTAGTCCTTTAAAAAAAAATTCACATAATTATTTCTGGAATATTAATTAATAAGACAATCGAACTAGGGGAAATAATCACTCTCTTAATATAGAAATGTATATGTCTACACATTTAATGGTAAATGTTAAATCAGATCAATAATTATTTTAGTATGTAATATATGAGCTTAATACTATTTGTATTTACAAAAAATATGTTGTCTGCAATTAGAATAAATATATTGTCATCATAAATGCTAAAATATTATACCATAATGAAACTTTTTAAATCAGAGTTGGTATAAAACAACGCTTTTCAATCAAGCAGAAAAAAATAAATTTAATAGTTGGAATATCTATATATATATTTCTCTTCATGGGGACCATGCGAGACACCACGTATACGCACGCCGTTACACACCCGCTCTCTAGGCATATAGCTATCACCTCACCCCCACCAGTCTGGTGAGCTGTGGTTAACACTAAATGTTTACTATCGTAGAGCCAGGTGGCTATTAGGTGCAGATATAATTTAGTTTTTAAACGATTTGGAACTTAGGAAGGTAAAAACAAGTTCTGTTTGATCTTTTCATTGTCGTCTGTAAACTGTCGTCACGGAGGGCTTCTTTCAAGGAGGGGGAGAAAAAAAAGAGGGTGGGGATAATTATCCTTCACGAGCTACTGATAGTGTTTTGAAGCAAAATATTTTCAGTCGCAACATTGGTATTGTCGAATTCACAAATTAGGAATTACTGAAAAATAGACAGTAAAAATAGTAAATAGCGGCGTATACTACGTCGCGGGTCAGCTCGTATATATAATTCTCTTTATTGGGACCATGCAAACACCAAGATATAAGCTCAACAGACCATATCACTACCACCCTCAATCCGACAAGTCTGGTGAGCTGTTTACAATCGTAGTGACGGCTATTAGGGACAGATAATTTAGTTTTTAAACAAATTGAAATTAAGGGGAGATAATAAAATGTTCTGATTGCTCTTTTTATTGTCGCCTTTAAACTGTCGTCCCAGACGGCTGCTTTCACGGAGGCGGGGTGGGGGGGGGGGGGGAAGAGTGGACTGGAATGTGAGGGTGAGGATAATCGTCCTTTCTTAGCTACTGATAGAGTTTTAAAGCAAAATATTTTCAGTCACAGCATTGGTAGTGTCGAATTCACAAATTATGAACTACTGAAAAATAGGAATTAAACTAAAAAGCGGCGAATGCAACATCGCGGGTCAGCTCGTTCTAAATAATAGCCTACATCAGGAATTGCCAATTGTTTTTGCTCGAGGGCCACTTTGTGGTAGCGGGTTTTAGCGGAGGGTCGCACCTTTTGAAGTTGACCTGCTGTCTGTCAAAGTGGACCTGCTGTCACTTTACCCAAGCTCAACCACCTCCCACTGTTGTGGTAAATTACATCTTAATAATCTACCCCCCATATCCCCAAGAATTGATTTGAATTATCATTGGTTGAGTGCCTTTGCTCTAATTATGTTAACCACGCTTACAACAGGTTTTGTCATATATAGTTGTTTCGTGGTGTCGTTTCAGATTGTACTCGTTAAATACGGCAATCATTTCATGACACAGTAAACATTCTGCTTTCGTGCCTGTATTACCAAAGAAATATTTGTGTGTCCATTCTTCATTATAAAAACACGGGATTCATCACCAATTTTTCACTTTTTCGGAAGGTTTATGGTTTCACTTAATTTGGTCGCGGACATGAAGCAAATCGCAGTTCAAGACGGACGGGGTCTTCTGAGTGTCTGGCGGGCCACAAAAACTCTGTGGCGGGCCGCATGTGACCCGCGGGCCGCACTTTGACCTCCCCTGGCCTAATTGTAACTAAATTATAAGTCTTGCAATGCATATCATACATTTTTAAATTAGCTACTACTTTTTTTGTTCTGTAAAGATCATTTTTTAACATAATGATAAGGTATGGGTTAGATGACTGTATTGCTTACGCACCTCTTTACAGGTAATTGCAAAAACAATATTCACAAAGTTTTCCTTGTTTCAAAAGCTATGATTCTGGCGGTTTGGTACTTTGGTACCTCATTACGCGTTTTCGGGGTGTGTGTGTTTGGGGGGGTCATCATCATTCACCACTGTCCGGTCACTTTAGTTCTATTATCTTACCCAGCGTATACCTAGCTGTGACATTAATGTCGCTCTACACAAATACGGCCTGTCCAGCTCTGGCGGTGAGGTGGAGGGGGGGGGGATAACCAACTCAGAGTAAATTTTAGTTTTTAGGTGACTATTCTAAACATACATATGTAAGCGGCTGGTGAATTATTTAATTATTATTTTATTACAAAAAGGTGATTGTCGCTTTTTGTGTCCTTTTGAGGATTGTTGTGGTTTTTAGTTAAGTAGTTCGCTGTTATGGCGCTGATATGATTATGATTTTAAAATGGTTTATAGTTGATTTGTCTTGTTTATATATTGATGTTATTATTTATGCAAACTTTGTTTTGGTGTCTGGTTACACTATGTTTTATGTCGTGAATATTAGTTATTGTTGTATTAGGGACTATTTTCTTGTGCGTAGTATTGATCTTTAGTTCGTGAATGTGGTTGTTGGACAGGGAGAGACATTCTGTGGGAATGTCGAGGCCTGTGTGTTGAAGTGTTTCTGTGTCGTATTTCTGTGCTGTTTGTACTGTGTCTGAATTTGGAAGTTTTGATGTTTTGTTGTGTTGAGTTGAATTTTGATTGGTCTGTTTTAAGTGTTTTGTTTTGGCTGGTTTTTTTATTTAGATCTAGATCTATATCTTTTGATTAAATTTTGGTTCCACATTTTTTGTAAATAAATTTTATTAAATTGTTAAAGTTTTTTGTTTTATTTTTAGCAGGTTCTTATCTAGTCTAAGGTTAAGATTTAACCATCGTGGGTTTTACCATGGTTGCACTGACCGGACAGTAATTAGATAAGCCTAGGGTAGATATTATTATTAAATATCCCCACCCCCTAGCAGGGCTTAGTGTAAGCATATTCATATACATTTATACTTATATACTGATTCAGAAATAGATTTAAATAAGTAACATGGTATTATGACAATAATCATTTTTCTATACATTCAAAGTCTTTCCTTCGACAGAGTGAGATAAGTTCAGTTGCACTTTTTAAATATTTGTATAAATAAATAAATCAATGTCCACAGTATGGCACCTCTTACACTGATGAGATTAGACATCCAATGGCTGATGGTAAAGAAATTCACATCGAAGGAACTGTTAAAACAACGGACAGCAGGTTATAACGGCTATTTTAAAAAGGAATGTACATATTATTTAGCAAAAATAAAAATTCGAATTCTAAATGAAATTGTCATGTCTTTACAAAACGGTTCACGTTAATTGCCTTAAGTATTAAGCTAATAATTACTCGGTATCTAGGCATATAATTGAACTTTGTAAGATTTTTCAATTGCCTAAAAGTCTAAAAAAATGTTAACTAAATCTCTATCTAGATTCACTATTGAACTGTGTGAAAAACAAAACTGTCTTGTGGACATCGAATTTCAAGCCGATATTCGATTTAACACTAGGACACTCGTAATGAATTATAAAAGAAACTTACAATTTGGACAAGCAACTATTAGAGAGGGAATACCATTGACAACTGCAGGACCAATTCAAATAAAAATAGTAATAAACCCCCAACAATTCAAGGTGATGTCAAAGCGTGCACTTAGTGATTTGGATTTATAAATTTAACTTACGTTATTTTTTTTCGAGCCTAAAATTAAGATTTTACTACGTAAATTATTTTTTTTAAATTATAATTCACTAGATCTATCTCAACAAAACACCGTTTACTTTTACAACAGTGGTTAGATGGACAAAGTTAAAGTATATAAGGATTCGTGGGACGACCCAAATTAATTGGATCTTGTATTCAGTAAGAGATAAATTTAGTTAATTTAAGTATTCAAACATAATAACAATAAACGTTTATATATGCATTTCAAAATATTACTCAATCATACACACATGTTTATATAGATAGATATAGATCATTTGTCCTCTCACTATATATATATATATATATATATATATATATATATATATATATATATATATATATATATATATATATATATATATATATATATATATATATATATATACATTACTGAAAAAATCTGTTTCAGTACAACCAACCAGTAAGTAAGAAAATATTTAATATACAGAAAAAATTATTTATTGCATCAACACTTGCAGTTCATTTAATTATTGGCAATTTACAATACATTTGCCCGTCGATCTCTCTCTTTCTCTCTCTCTCTCTCTCTCTACACACACACACATATATATATATATATATATATATATATATATATATATATATATATATATATATATATATATATATATATATATATATATATGGAGCGAGGGAGCGATAGACAAATATACTAGTACACCTTTATACACTAATGTATCTCCACACACATGACACACACACAACTAACACCTACGCACAAAGACACGCACAACTACTTTGGAACTCATACATGATTACCAAGTGAAATTAAATGGATAAAAACATAATACTAAATTGTCGTTTTATTTTGATTTTAGCCAAGGATGGTTCGCTTTAACGATCAACTTGCGGTAAAAAGAGTCATAATAATTGGCACTCCTAATTCTAATAATAGGTGAGTTCGAACACATCAAAATTCCTAAGTCAAATCGATCGTTATTTGTTTATTCAAGCCTTAACATATGACGGGAGTGGGGTGGAATAGGGGCATAATTACAAATTACCTCTTAGGACTATCATAAAATCGGATGTTAGTGCAAGCTGTTCAACTCCTATCCCTAATCTAAAATAACAGATAATCAATTTACACATTTTATTAAATGAAATACAAAACATTGAACCATTTGAAAACTTTATACGTTACACATAAACACAATTGATACTAAACCTAAGGATCATTGCACATTCAAAACATAGCGCAACAAACTAACAAAACACCCATTTGTGTCACACAACATAACCTGAAAGAAAAATGATAATTACAATTCATAAAGAAAAATGTAAATTAAAATATATAAATACTAGCTGTAATCAGCTACTCGTTACTCTAGCCATATTATATTGCCATGTTCAAATGGTACCGTTAATGCACATATATTTGTTTTTACCTAATGTTTTAAGGACAATTAAAGTGCATTGCATAATGCTAAGCTCAAAACAGCAACAACACGCGATTCTATAAATTAATCTTCACATCAACATCTATCCCCCGATGTAGTTTTTGTTACACAAGTACACCTTCAATCAGAGTCAAACCATTAAACAGAAAACTTTTTATTACATACTTTCCCTCTCCTAGTGAGCAACAATCCGATGCGATACAATAATAATATTTAAAAATATCAGAGAAGTATCATGTAAGATTATATTGCTTTTTATTGCTTTTTACACCGTAAAAGCAAACAATTGCTAATTGTAACATTAATGAACAATAAACCGGGAGTGATCTCCCCTAAACTTTCAAGAATATTCTTATACGAGCCGACCCGCTGCGTATCATACGCCGCTATTTAGTTGTTTTTTTTTTCTACTTTTCAGTAATTTATAATTTGTGAATTCGACAGCACCAATGCTGCCATTGAAAATATTTGCTTAAAAACACTACCCCCCCCCCCCCCCCCCCCCCCCCAACGTGAAAGCAGCCTCCTCTTAGTTACCTCCTCTAAGTTTAAAATCGTTTCAAACTAAATTATCTGTCCCTAATAGCCGTCACCAAACCCGTCTCTGTGATTGTAAAATGTAAACAGAGTGAACACCGCTCACCAGATCATGTGGGGGTGGGGTGGGGGTGGTAGTGATAGAGAGGAAGAGAAGGGACTGCAAAGGCGCGCTTGCAGCTTGTTTTCTAACTGATCCCAGAAGAGAATTATATATATATAGATAACACTACAGGGGATGGCGACTCGGGATATTAAAATGATTTTTTTTTAATCGGGAGTGATCTCCCCTAAACTTTCTCGATTATTCTTATATAACACTACGGGGGAGATCACTCCCGCTTTATTATTTCGGATCTTTAACGTTATACCGACATTAAACTCATTTTAAATTAACCATGCGATGTAAGAAACGGATGTTTATTTCAAGTAAAAAAATATTTTTATTTCACTAAATTAGTTTAAGATGTATTAAGCTAAAACAATTTCACAATGGAATAGCATACACAATAAGAAATTAGAAGAAAAAAAACACCCTACTACCACACCACTACCACAAACGCAAATATATAATATGAATATTATCATATTATATATATATATATATATATATATATATATATATATATATATATATATATATATATATATATATATGTATGTTATTATACTGTCTGAGACTATTGCTTTACTTTGCAATTTTTGTTTTATTATATAGTTTAACTAATCTCACTTTTTTTAATCAATAGATTTTCAATTAACCTAAAGAATTGGAATGAACATGCGAATCGTTCAAATTGTACATATGGAAATGTCGCCTTGCATATTGATGTTAGGTTTTTTCAGTCAAGGGTTATCATTGACTCTAAGGGCTCTAAATGGACTGGTGAACCAAGTGTGCTCGGACGTGCTCCATTTGCAAAAGATTTACAGTTTAAATTACAAATCACAATACGCAAAAACAGATATGAGGTAATTATATATATATATATATATATATATATATATATATATATATATATATATATATATATATATATATATATATATATATATATATATATATTCTTACGGGTGGGGGTGACACCATTAGGTGCCGCACCGGGTGACACCCGACCTCGCTGTTTGAAAATCTAAATCTTTCCTTTGCTATCAAGATTTCTAATTCAAAGTGAATGAAAACGAGACTTACAAGCCCGATTAAAAATTACGCGTTTTACATCGTCGATTCATGCGCTGAAGCGATCACTGAATCAACATTAAAATTAGATAATAATATAAAAAGCTCAACTGAATTATATACAGTCAAAATAAAAAATGTTGACTGCTACTTTGCATTACGGACTTTAATTGTTTTCGACATCAATACTGAGACACCAAAATTACGTAAAAAGCGCCCCGATTTTTCCAAATGATACGGGGGGACGCATTTTCACAAAAACGATAGCTACATAAAGGCCTAATTTGAGGACGGGGCGCAAAATGTATAGTTAGTTCTGTGCATCGAAATTGATCACTACGCCTTTGAATTTTAACATATAAAAAGTAAATAGTACCTAATAAATTATTAGATACTTTTTAATAATAGCGATTACACATTTTTTCGCCCCCCCCCCAACGGATAGCGCCCTATGCGACCGCCTAGTTCGCCTTATAGGTAGCGCCAGCCCTGGAACGCATTGATGAAACTACCTGAAAATAGTCCGTCAGACTTTCTGTTATATATATATATATATTTATATATATATATATATATATATATATATATATATATATATATATATATATATATATATATATATATATATATATATATATATATATATATATACTAGAGTACCCGACACGCACGCTACTGCAAGCTGACCCAACATAAGAGTGTTTTATGAACGTCTTCAGTTTATGCTAATCATTCTCTGTAATAGGGAGGAAGAGCGACCGCCCATGTGCTTGGGTGCTTCGCCACTCAAAAAAAATTTAACCACTTTCCCCAGAAAACTTTCCGAAATTATTATCAACAACTTTCCAAAATTTCATGTTAATGGGATGAAAAGTGTAGTAATGCAAGACGATCAACATTAAAAAATACAAACATTCAAGGCAACTTTACTGTACAGATCTAAAATGAAGTCGCACCTTAGGTTACATTGTTTTGTGTATAAAACATCACTTTCCTTATATAATATTTTCTGAGCTTGAACTTAATGTGAATAACAAAAGAATAAATTAGTGAAGCTAACGTGGGAAAATTACAATTAAAAAATTCAAATGACTGCCTTGGTTCCGTGCCAATGTCACTTTACAGGCTGGCTAGCAAGCTTTGGTCTTGGCCAGGACGTCACATACATTTTTTGTTAAAATACTTCGTAAGAATTTTGAAAGAAGCCCAAACTTAACCATAAAGTACATAAGTTTTAGCCTTATTCCATTGCTAAAAAAACAAAGATTGATATAAAATATTTAAAGGCCTGAAATAGTTCACTAAGACTAAATTCCGTGTGTTTTTATACTTCTTTTTGCTTTTAACAAAATAGTTTTGGTTTGATTCTATTTTCCTACGGCAGCTTAAATGTAGTTTACAGCTTTAGCTGGATACATTCATTCCATTCTTGAATTAAAGGATTTGGCAGATGTATGGTATTGAAAATTTTCACTAATGAAGGAACATAATAGATATAACAAAAAGTTATGTTTTTAGACCCGGGCTTGAGATTTTGCTAAAAAGAAGATTTAAAATAAGGAATGCAGTTTAACTTTTGGAGTTTTAGTTTATATTTATGAGTTCAGTTATGTCTTAAGTTGGACGTACACAAGCTTATATAACAATGCATTTATTTTTCCATTTTTTATTCCGTGATGTTCTATTAGGATTAAATGATCAATAATTTGTACAGTTGACTAAATATAAAACTTTTCAATGGGCAATATTGGGCGGCGTGACCTAACGGTAGAGCGCCAGAATGCTATCCCTAAAATTTCGAGTTCGAATCCTGGTTTAAGTCATTAGAACGTCCGTGAGTTCACCTAGCTCTGATTGGTATCTAACTCAATTTATGGAGAGTACAGATGGCTGGGCATGGTGCTGACGACACTATCTCTTGGTATGCCGATGGCACAGAAAAAGGTGAACTATAATTCACTTGCCCCACAGACCGTCAAGTTCGAAATAGTACTTTATTTTAATCAATATATAACAGGTTTTTTATAACGTTGTGACTCTCATGTTTATTATTTTAAAACATCTAAAATACTTGGCAGATGATGTGGGTTTCGTGCTAAAATCACGTAAACATTTTTGTATTGCTATGCTGAGCATAGCTTTATAAATTGCTCTTTAAACCATGTATTTTTTTTTAATTTAAACACCCATATATGTTTGAGTCCTTAATTAAATTTAAAATTACATTTAATGACTGAAGCAAAGCCAACCCTAGGCTCCTACAAACATTATATATATATATATATATATATATATATATATATATATATATATATATATATATATATATATATATATATATATATATATTTATTTATTTATTTATTTATTTATATTTATATATATGTTACGGTCAAAGCCCGAAGTCGGCCACTGCGAGGATTGGTCCGAAACTTTGCTTGATTTCGGCCTTTGGCCAGCCAGTCCGCGGACTGGCCATGGTGGACCGGCCAAAGTCTTAATTAGAAGATCATCTGGCTTGGGACGACCGGCCAAAGTCCGAATTAGAAGACCATAAGCAGATTTTGTTGTTTTTTTTTATGCCGTAAGGGTCATGAAATTAAGTTTTTATTGATTATTAATTAAAGTAAATGACAGAAACATTCAAATATTTTATTGTCTCAATCTATCAATATCATCATTTGTTACAACAAGTTGAACTTTTATGGCATTTAGAATTACATAGTAGCTTGTTATTTTTACACTTGCAGCGATTGTTTGTGCACTTGGTTGTGCAATTGCAGCGAGTGTAGCCTTGGCCCCCAGTCAATGATTGTGAAGATGCGATGGTTCGTAGTGATTTTTCCTCAGTGCCAACTGAAGACAATAAGAGCAGTTTTTCGTGAAGAATTGAAAACTCACTTCTAGCATACAGTTGTTTTAGAACACCATGTTCCGTTCCTAATTTGTAGAAACCGCCCTCGACGCTCATGACAACTGCAATCACGCTTCGGGGATCGACCTCTGTCAACATCTGGAATACAGATGCGTACATTGTCACCCGCTTCACCATCTTTAAATTTTGTATTTGATGTTTTAAGCATCTTAGCACATTGAGTTTGCAAGCTAGTATGAGCTGCTGACCTGTGTTCCATGATGTCTTGTTTGTTGTGACATAATCTGCAGGTAATATTTCCTCCGTACTCTTCGTCGGCTTCATTGGGTATTCCACACATAGCATGGACATCGTTGCCACAGGTTCCACAAGAATGAGCTGCACTACAGTGTTTTTCACAAACTATACAGAATCTGTTGGCCACATTATTGTCACGTAACTGGTCTGGACGTTCCGCCACGGTTAGCTGAGGAAGTCGTTGCATTTATGACAACCTCCATTTCTTGTTCAATGTTCTCAAGATCTTCCTCAGTAACTAAATTATCGAGAGCCTCTCTTGGTAAAATTGAAGTGCTAAGTCCCACTTTTGCTTTGCATCCCTACAAATCTTCGTATGGCAATTGTTGGATTCCTTGATGAAAAGAACGATTTTTCATAAATTGAATGAGTTTGAGACTCTCAGCCCAATGAGCTGATTAATTTGTTTGCATCCATGTCATCATCATGTTTTGAACATCTTGGTTGGCACGTTCGACTGAACCTTGGCTTTGGCTATGCCTTGGTTGTCTGTGAACTAGTTTAAGTTCAGGCCACATGTTCTTTAGTTCAGAAATAACTTGGTTAACAAATTCTCTTCCATTATCTGATTGAAGCACACTTGGGGCACCAATAATCGTGAAGATATCCAGCAGCTGGTAAGCAACTTATTCTGCTCTTTTGGTTTCCAAAGCTCGCAACAATATGAACTTGGTGAAATGATCCTAGTAACTGAGTATGCAGTTGTATTGTCCGTCTGGGTTACTTTGCATATCAATAAGATCAACTTGACATCTTGAATTAAATTCTTTAAATATCAAAGGTTTTGTTGGGGAAATATGGTTTCTGACGCCCACGCCATCTCAAGTCGCTTGGACACTATTGTTCAACTTACAAGCAACGCGGCAAAGTCTTTTGAACGTTCCGTCTTGTTGCACGTGTTCGGTGACGCCGACTGTCTATGATTTTGTTCTTTGATGATTGCCAGCATGGAGGAGGCTGTCACATACAGTTGTAGCCCATGTATGGAAACTAACATGGATTTCCATTTTTTTTCTTTTGACAGCCATCTGCTGTGTCTGTCTCATGGTCTGACGGTCCTTTTGATCCATGTCGCCTTGCATATAGAATGATATACAAACAAAAGCTAACCAATACGTTACAATGAAACCGCACCCAGAATAATGAAAACGCGATCACAACTTAGTCAAGGAAGAACATTGGCCAGGACATCCCGGCCAGCGCGCGCATTGGCCGGCCAATGTACAAAATACGCTGTCAAGTTTAAGCGCTTCGGACATTGGCCAGTACGTCCCGGCCAGTGCGCGCATTGGCCGGCTAATGTACGAAATACGATCTTGGTACTAAGTTCTTCGGGCTTTGGCTAAGAGAGCCGGCCAATGCGCGCATATATACCCGTGCTCCACCACGGTAAAACTTTTTTTAATGTACCAACTTGGGAACAGAACAAAACTAAACACAACACAAAACAAACACAAAACAAACACAAAAGAAACGCACACGCAGTTTGCGATTGCTTATAGTAGAGTGATCGCTTGCATTATTGTGATGTATAGATTTATTTTCTACTTTTTAGTTCAATCAGAAAACGTGGGTTTTTAAAAACTTTTTTAATGATAATTATTTTTATTAGCGCGAGTTGAATTTATTTTTAAATTACCTTCCTTGGAAAATGACAAAACAGTTTAATTAATGCGTTTTTTTGACAATATTGTCACAAGCCTTTTGTGTGTGACTGGGTTCACGATATAAACTTGTCACAGGCCTTCCTCCTACCTTTTATATTACACATGTGAAATCAAAAGACAAGCCTTCTTCTTGCAAGTTCTCATATTTATTTTGTTTAACACAGGCATCGTGTCCACACCGACCTAGCCATTTTTCCGCCTCCTTCCCTCTTGTTCCTTTCGCGCATGCGCACAGCCCCTGTCTCCCTGATGCAATACACACACACTCCCAAGATACAATCCACCAATATTTCACTGTTATAAATATTATTATTAAAATGTATCCACCCTTTCTATGAATCTTATCGAAAATGATATTTCACATTGATACTTTTAATATGTTTTAGCAATGTGCGGGCATTTAATATTTTCTTTACATTATGCAGAAGAGTAAAAACAGTAGCAACTATAAAATAAATTTAAGTCGCAATATAAACAAACCCTACTCTATTACTTATAATAATACACTGCTGTGCAAGTAAAAAGCACGACATGTGATGAGTATACTCATGGTTCTATAATCTATAGCGATGACGGACTGACACACTACCAGCAGCGTTATATATATATATATATATATATATATATATATATATATATATATATATATATATATATGTATATATATATATATACTTATATATATATATATATATATATATGAGTGTGTGTGTGTGAGAGAAAGTGAGAAACTGTGTGATTGTGTATATCGTTTTTTTTTTCCTTTCTTTTCAAGATTCTCTTTGACGATGGCAGTGTTTTCAACTGGGCTCATCTAACTGAGCAAGTAGATATGGTGTGTATTAATCAAGATCTGACAATCAAAAGTATCCTGACAACATAAAAACCAATTTATTAACCTTGAAGGACAGGGATATTGTTTTCAAAAAGCATTTACCAGTGCCTGATAATCTTTAAACCAAACGTTTCTATTGTTTTAAGCATTGTGGAAACATCGGATTAGAAATCTGTGCAAAATAAATAAATATACATACAAATATTTATCATTTTTGTGTGAGTGGCCTCCCCTTGGAAGTGGTGTGCGAGCGTTTAAACAAGTGTGTGAACGAAGGAGTGTGTAAGCAGTGTGGTGTAGCGTCAACACAGTGTACCTAGTCGTCAGTTTTTTCTTCGTGTCAATGTTTTTTCTTGTAATTGGTGAAAAAGGGCTAACTGGACACCCACCCCACTCGTGCTATCAATTTGTAAGCCCTGCTAGCGGGAGATTACTAAAATCTACCCTTCTAGGCTTATCTAACTACTATCCGGTAAGTGCAAGTCCGGCTAAACCCAGACTGGTTAATAACCTTAACCTTATTTTAAATAAAAACAAAAAACTTTAACAATTTATTTTATTTATTAAATGGAACCAATCAAAATTTAAAAAAAAAGAATAGATAAAAAAAAAACTACAGACACTACTAAACAAAACAGACTATAACGTGACAAAACAACATATACGAAACAATTTACACTAAACACCCAATTTCGGACTACGTCCAGGCTTACAAGGAACAAATTCACTAAACGCAAAAGTTCAATGGCGTTTCCCTGACTTTGATGCCTCGGATGGTACAGGATCTCAACTTCCTCACCTCATCCATACGACATACCAAAGTGAATCGAACATCACGCCGGAAACCGACTTTCACACACCTCACACACTACACGTAAACAAATAGTCCCTAATTCACAGATAACAAACAACATACGACACAATTATACAAAAAGACACCTAATATAAACAGTGACCACAATCTAAATAGAATATACACAAACTAGCCGTAGACAGGGACATAAACAGTTACACAGCGGCGCCATAATACGGAACTACACAACTAAAAAGTACGAACAGTTTACGACATGAAACGATACATTCGCCTTCTAAGTTACAAATAATAATTACACACCCCAGCATGTTACTGATTCACTTTGTGGATTTTTTTTCTTATTATTGTTACACCTGTCCCAAACGAGCCAAAAATATTAGAACGCCGAGTGTATCAATTTATTCATTATTTATACATTTATTTATTTTATTTTATTTATTTATAACATGTATAAGACTGGAAAAGTCTATGTAATCATACTAAATTTTTTAAAAAAATTATTTTTTAAAATATGGCAAGCGATAAAATTATAGCTACAATTTAAAAAATTAAAGTCGATTAGGAACCATCGATTACACTCCTTTTCAGATTTTTGTATTGAACATAAGCCGTTGAAAATGATTTTGAATTATTGTATAAATTTAAATATTTAATAAAACCGCCCTCAACCCCACCTTGAACTGAACTGAAGTGGCCAGGGAGTGTAAAAAGATTAAAGTCATAACATTTATTGTCCATGATAAATACGGACATGGTGATCCAAGAAAACAAAATGGCGAACAAGGGAATATTTTCATTTCGATTCAGGCTTTAAAAATTCGTTTGTATTCCTTTTCATTATAGTTGGCTTATTTTTTTATGACTGTTATGCTCAGATTACTAATATCTAACATTATTCTTATTAATTGTTACCAATGTTTTTGTAGAATGTTTTTAACGCATGTTTCGTTATTTTTGTTAGAGTTCTGTGAGTGCTCTACTCTACTAACTAAGCTAGAGATCTAGATCTAGATCTAGAATCTAGCCATAAGTTTCTAGATCTAGACCTAGATCTAGATCTAATCTAAATCCCGCCCTCCCCTAGCTACGCCTCTGCTTAGTAGTAGTCTAGTATGCCTGTGATTGGGTAGGTATTTAGTATTTGTATGTAAGTTAAGCAAAGTTAACTAGGCTTAATAAGGCTACAATTTTAAACTGTAAAAATTACATGTAGCCTAAATAAAAGGTTACAAACTAGTACATTAAATAATATCCAAAATTTAAGTTTAATCTAGATTAGTAGTCTAACAGTAATTTTAGGCCTCTAATAATAATAGTAAAAGTTACTGAATAGAAGAGTAGGCTTATTAGTAAATAGCTGTCTTATTTTAGTTCTACTTAATTAACTTAATATATTAGTCTACTCTTAGTCTTATGTAGTGATCTTTAGAATTTAAAATGCAGAATAGTTGATAAAGCCAAAAGGTGTCAATTGTCATAGATGGATTAACTTACTTATCAAATTAATATAATTATCCTAATATTTATTCTAGTATGTGTATGAATTAATGATAGTTATAGTAGTCTAGTTTGAATATCAATTTTCAACTAATTCCTGAGGTCGCTAAACATAAGTAGTAGATCTTTATTGATACCTTTTTCTTTTTTTAAAATGATATATACATGACTTTTGGACTCTTTTGAAGGCCTATTGTATTTTATGACAAACTCCTTACATTAAAATATTAAAAGTAAACTATTAGACCTATATTTTTAATGAATGGTAATGGTTAGATAGCCCATACAATCCAATACATATATACACATCATTGCTTTATGATCTTTATAAGACAGACACATATTTTTATTTATAACATTAAGAGTTGAAAGTATGTAAACATAATGAGTTTAATATAACAGTTTATGAAATTTATTTATGTTTTTTTAGATACTGTGGATTATACAACTGCATACAGAGAAGAAAAAAAGTGAAGATGAAGCTCAATTTAAAAACTGATCCAAGGATACATGTTGGACCCAAGAAAACTTGTTCATATTGAACAATTATTTTTTTAATATTCTGAATGAATATGGTAATTAAAAAAAGAAAATATAAACTTTGTTATGTTTTTCTTTTTCAGCACTGGTAGTGTGTGCTGGTGTATGCGGAAACTAATTATTGCTACCTTTATTCAATAATTAACTTAAACTGGCAAACTATAAATAGTTTTTAAGAATATGGTGCTGAAGTAGATTTCACCTAGTTTTGTTGCCCTTCCATATTAATAAATTGTATAGTCAGCAAAATGTCAAACAGCTTTTACTAAGTTTTACTGTCCATAACCAGTCAGGTACCAGTTAAAGCTGCTTTGAATTTGAATCAGAGACAACCTAAAGGATTAAAATTTCAACTCAAGAACTTGTGCTTTAGCAAATGTGTTCACAAATATGTAGCCCCACTATAAATCTTACATTTGCATATATCTATCATAGCTGTAAAACATAATGATAAAGGAAGAATCAAGAATATGGGTTTTTGTCAATTCTAGCCATACCAGCATATAAATGTAGACCAGGCTTAGTGAAGCATGGCTGATAACTAACCATCAAACACAAATACAACAAACTATAATCACTGCCAGTTTCCTAGTAATGTGTTGTTATTGGCCGTGCAAGTTTATGAACATGTAATTGTTTATATATTACAAAAGAAAAAGACTTGCTCATCAGATGCATTCCAGATATTTGAGGAAAAGATGTTTTCTATAAGGATAGGCAGCTATAGCAAATGAGGTTAGGGGAAATGTTGAGTTAAGTAAACTTTAATAATTGTAATGACAGAGATACCATCACAGCAACAAATGTAATTAGGTTTTTTATGACTAATTAATAAATATCCTATAAATAATAGCAAAATGCTGAAGTGGTCGTCCATAAAAGACTTTGTGGTGGTGGGGGAGATTTGGACCTTCGTGTCAAGGGGGAGGGGTTCAGAAAGTAAGATGACACTTTTCCATGTTCAACAAACACTATGTTAAGAAACTGAATTTAAGCCTTTATTTGCATTATTAAAAGTTGTTTTATAAATTGTTATAAAATAATTCATCAATAGGCCTACATTGAATGTTGAAAAAGCCCATAGGTCTAAATATTTTAAGAAAATCGCTGCAACGGGGGGGGGGGATATTAGGTTTACTTTTTTGGGGAAGCGGGAGGTCTGGCATCGTTGTGACATCGTTAATAAATGACCCGATAGTCAGAGGTAGATCTAGATTGATTAGGCCTATATTAAAATGTTGATGTTAATTACGCTTTACTTATTATTACAATGAAATATAGCCTAGTAGTTTATTTATATTAAATAATATAACATCCCCTTGCACAACAACACCCTGACTATACTAATCCAAATTACAATAAAAATGTTTGGTAAATTACTATTATATTATTAGTAATTTTGTGTTTAATATTTCTAGCCTTAGTAAAAACCGGAAGTGACTTTGTACTTATTTCACAAATGTTATAAAATAATAAATTTTGGTTCAAAAATATGCTTTCTGGCAACACAAAGTGGAACCACTTTTGGAACCACTTTTCCAGTCTATTTATTTATTTTTATTTACTTCTTCATTTTTAATTCATTATATATATATATATATATATATATATATATATATATATATATATATATATATATATATATATATATATATATATATATGGGTCCATGACAAATGATCTCAGGACAAAAGATACCAGGACGAAATATATCAGGACAAATGATATCATGGACAAACGATCTCAGACAAAATATCTCATAGCAAAATTTATAGCATGTACGATGATTTTAGTTAAATTGAACTTTTTTTTTATTGCCTGTCAGTATGGTTTTGTTTACTTTTTTACGCATAATAATTTTGAATAAAATGAAATTGTTATACTTAACAAATCATCAAAAGATTTATTAAACTTAATCTCTGTAATTGTTTTGAAAAAGTAAAATTTAAAACAAATTTAATCCTTTAGCCTGAAAAGTATAATTAATGATAATGTGTAAAACAAATAAAATAACATTAATGTTCAAAACACGCGAAATATTTTTCAAAAATGTGAATGGGTCTTCAGGTTCGTAACATAAAAACTTTTGTTTTTATTGCATCATCAACACAAACGTTTACGTTCTTTGCTGGCAGGTACATCGTTATGATCACTCTGTGATCACCTATTGTGTGAACTCTTGCTCGACATGTTCTAACTTTACATTTTCAAACCTCTTTGCCTGCTGCTCCATTTTTGGCTTTTATAAACAGAAATTCACCAGAAACTAATTTCCAAAACCTCTCTGCTAGGTAACGAATGAGGCCATAGCTTAGTAAG